TGCAATATGTCTTAAAATATGCACGAAATTGCCAAAGTATGCATTTTTTAATTGGACTATTTAATCATAGCATAGAAATTTGCATTTTGCATATAATCTGAACCTTAGTTATAAAACAAAAAGTCATGCCGGATTTAAAAAAAAAGAACAAGTAAAATGCTTAGAATGGGTCTTCGAAATACTGAACCCCAAAATACGATATGAAAAATCTTGAAAAAAAAGTCGTCGAATACTTGGGGCTTGGGACACAAAAAATAAGTCTTGCTAGGATGTGAGAAAAATTAATTAACATAAATTTTTTTAAACGAAGTTTTAAACCTTTTGAGGTTTAAGTTTACGAAGTTAACACAGATCTCAACTCATCTTTGAGAATTAGGTTTACAGAATTAACTTGAGGTTATATTTGATCGTTTATTAACTCAGTTTCTTGTCTGTTTTTCATACACAAACAAGTTTAAAAGAATATATATTTGAGTATTTATTCGTTAAGATTTTAGTTTTTTTTTTTTAGTTTTGTAGAATTTTAACTTTGTTTGTGTTCAACTTTTGGTCTTTCTTCGATTCTGGCTTAATTTTTGAAGTTTTCGCCTCTATCTCAAGATTACGAGTCTTAAAATTCTTCAACTGCAGTTTTATTTATAAACTGTTTACTCAACCCTCTAACCCCGCTCTTTACGACCCGTTCCTCGCAATGAAAGATTTTAATAAAAATCAGATCTAGAGCAAACCGTCTCGTGTTTACACCGCCACTGGATCGATGTAGCAACCAGTTGATATGCACGTAACAAATTTCCTCGTTTCCTTTCCCTTTTCCGCACCGATCCAGTTTATTATTATCGAGTCAGATGGCTGATTGACGCGCTAAAAGGTTTTTCTGTCTTGTCTGGATAAAACATCATTGACGTCTATCCTCTTGGACGTGTGTGTTGGTGGTGTTGGTATAAAGAACCACAATCCATGTGCCCGCCATCTGGGACCTTCAATTCACTCATTCTGTATACAACATACAGACGAGAGATGTTTAGTGTCGCCTAAAAATAAACCTTTTGATTTACAAAACGCGGTTTTTACTAGTCGACAGGCCATGTGCCGCAATCTTTCCCCGATTTCAGGACACGTGGGAGTTGTGCGAAAGCTCACGTGGCGAGGGTGTCAAATATTTACATTGAGATATTTTATTTATTTTTCACCATGTCGTAAAACCTAATTGAAGTGGCTATAATGTTGGAAAATGTAAAACTTCTAGGTAGTTAAGCATGAAAAATGCGCTCAATGATTAAGTGGAAAAATGTAAAGTATGATGAAAGCTTGATTAATTGGTAAAAACAAATAAAAACTTTTCCCAGCTCTCGTAACGCAGGGTTAATTGTCTCGAGTGGTCGTAAAACCTATAATTGTGCATTTATCGAACTAGAACTGCAACATTTTAACCGTCGCATCAATTACCGCATATAATAAAAGTTTTTCATTGTGAAAATTCCGGTCATTTTTCCGTTTCCGGGTGTGTGATTTTTTCGCCCGACGGCTCCATTTCAGACACATGGTGTCTGCGCTCCGTCAGGTCTTTTGTGTTCTTTCAGTACTGCTGAAATTGTCGCCGAATTCGAAATGTATGGAAATTTTTAACGCCCGGATCGAGATCCGGTCTCTTTCTCTCTCGTCGTGAATAAATCGCGTTCCGTTACTTCATTTACATCTGTTCCAGTTTCGGTGGGCCGACGCGTCGCGACGCTAAAAGCTTTCGCGCGCGCGGATCAACCTCGAGCCCGGAACAAATCCAATTCCGGAACGAATCAGACTATATGCATCGGCGACAAAAAGAAAAGCCGACTTCTCGACGACGAGATGATACAAACACGGCGACGCGTCATTAGGCACACGGAAAATGGAGGTTTTTCAGCGAAAGAAACGGTGTAATTGGGTTTAAAATGGGGTATTGGGGGTTGATGGGTTCGTCAATAATTTTTCAATACGTAAATACAAGTCAATGTTACGGTTGTTAAGTGAATAATGCGAAATATTGATCCATTTGTTGACGATTTGGACTAATAACACACTAGTTTTAGACAAAAACCACTTCTGAGTGCTTTGCTCATAACAATTACTCGTAAACCTGACTGACTCATAAAAAAAATAGGTTTAGGCTAAAAATGGGCCAAATGTATGAAAATTTACTTACATTTATGGTAGTTAAGGTTGCCTTTGAAAGTAAAAAAAATTGAATTGATTCAAGTTTTTTTAATCGTAAAATTTTAGTAATTTAGATTTAGACTTAGGTTTCGCAACGTATTTTCAAAGTCTGAAATGATAAGATTGAACGCAATAAATTTCTGAGAAGTTATTCAAGTTTCAAGCTTTAATATTTTTTTATTTCTGAAAATCAGGGTTGAATAAAAAAAAATAACCTAGGTTTATCTTTAGCAATTTCAGAGTTACTTTATTTTACTCAAGTCAAGTAAGAAATTAGTCTACACTTAAACCGGAATTAAATAGGTTTGGTTTAACTATGAAAATCCGAAATGATCAGGCTTATTAGGTTTAGGTTTAACAAATAATTCAATTATGTTTCTAACTAATCATTAGATTTGTATTCGTAGACAGTTTACTTAGGTTTAGATTTGAAAAGTTAGTCACATCTTAGTTACTCAAATATGTAATTATTAGGGTCATTCCTGAAAAACAATAAGTTGAAATTCACATAACAACTAACCTAGGTTTATCTTCGATAATCTCTGATTAGCTATTTAGCTTCAAGTAAATAAAAACCTAAGATGTTAAAATTCAACCCAAAATCTGTTTAAGTTTAGGTATAAAACTACTGTTCTATATTATTGAGAAGTCGACCCAAGTTTAGACCTAGGTTTGAATTTATACAGAAATAGCTTAGGTTTCGATCGGAGAACACTGTTCAGGTTGAAGTTAAACCAATTATCAGAAAATAATTTATTGTAAGCTGATAGATTTGTCTAACAAAAAAGCTGTTTTCTGAGAAATGAGCTCAGGTTTAGATAATTCTAAACCTAATGGTTTGTAATTGTCGACAGTTTACTTATTCTTGAAAAATTTCTGTTTCTAATCTGAAATTTAGAGAATAATTGCTCAAATTACAGTTATTTTGTTTTGTTCAAGTCAAGTAAGAAATTAATTGGTTAGACTTATTAAGTCTACAAGCAATTATGTTTCTAACTAATCATTAGGTTTGTTCGGCGACAGCTTACTTATGTTTAGGTTTGAAATGCTTGTAGGTGCTAGGTTTATTTCTCAAACACAATTAGTTTAAATTCACATAACAACTAACCTAGGTTTGTCTTCGATAATCTCTAATTAGCTATTTAGCTTCAAGTACCTAAAAACCTAAGATGTTAAAATTTAACCCAAAATCTGTTCAACCTGTTCAGGTTGAAGTTAAACCAATTATCCGAAAATAATTTATTGTAAAGTCGACAGATTTGTCTAACAAAAAAGCTGTTTTCTGAGAAATGAGCTAAGGTTTAGATAATTATAAACCTAATGGTTGTATTCCTCGACAGTTTACTTATTTTTGAAAAATTTCTGTTTTGAATTTAAAATTAGAGAATAATTGCTCAAATTAGTTATTTTGTTTTGTTCAAGTCAAGTAAGAAATTAATTGGTCAGACTTATTAAGTTTACAAACATTTAAGTTTAGGTTTGAAATGCTTGTAATTGTTAGGTTCATTTCTCAACACAATAGGTTTAAATTCACATAACAACTAACCTAGTTTTATCTTTGGTTAGCTATTTAGCTTCAAGTAAATAAAAACCTTAAATGTTAAAACTCAGCCTAAAATCTGTTCAGGTTTAGGTTTAAAATTACTCTTCTATATTACTGAGAAGTCGACCCAAGTTTAGACCTAGGTGTGAATTTATAGAAAAATAGCTTAGGTTTTGATCGGAAAACATTGGTTTATTGGTTTGGAAAATAATTGATTGTAAATTAACTGATTTATGCCTAACAAAAAAGCCGTTTTTCTGGGAAATTGGCCAAGATTTAGTATTAGGTTGTAGTCGACAGTTTACTTAGGCTTGAATAATTTCTGTTTCTGATATGAAAATTGGAGAATAATTGCTTAAATTTTCTTGAGATTTTTTTTTGGTTCTGTTGAATTTTTTGCTATTGCCCGTGTAGAGACTCGTTTTTTGCTTAAAAATTCGGCCTCTCAAGCGCAGTTACGCCCTTCAGCTCCTAAACTTCGTTATTAAGCTTTCAAAAAAGTGAAATTTAGAAAAACCAGTCCCGGAGTTTAATAAAAAAAACTTTCTTTATCTTCGTTCCCCCATTAAAATATACAAAGTGAATACGTTCCCGAATTGAAAAAGCCCGCCTCCGAAGTGAAGTGCAAAGTCTTTGTAAAGTTTGTTGTTTTATAGGAAATTATAGGAAGCCGGGACCGCTCCTCCGCTTCTAAATCTCTCAAGTGCATTTAACGCTTTTCGAGAAGGTAAAACTTTCTCAACTTCGCTTTATCAATTATTATTAAAATCACGTGTCACTCTTGAATCTAAAAATACTCAACCACGTGGCGTAAAAAATTGCTTTTATTCATCTTCCATCTACTAGATCCTGCATTCGGATGCATTTTCCGAATTATGCAAATACGCTTCTGGGCGTACTTAGGAATAATTTCGTTACGTTGCAATAAATACGACACGGGGGCGCATAGGTAATATAATTTTATACCGGAAATATAATCGCCTTCCTTTCCAAATCTATATTATGTGTACGTCCTCTTTTCTTCGTTTTGGGGCCCGCATTCGACGAATCCCTTTCATGACTGGGATTACTATATAAATACATAAAGCATACATCCCAAGATGTACCGTGTATAAGCGCTTTTGCGTCACTTCTCTTCGCCCTTCCCGCCGACCCTTATCACATATTCATCCCGTTTTCCTTTTGCCTCCGACAATTTGTTCGCGTACGAAGGGATTATCGAGTCTTGAATGCTCGCATCTGAGTTTTTGCGTTTTTTTTGTTGCAGAGAGGAAGCGAAGAACTGCTATCGCAGTCGAACGTATCAGTGATGGCTCCTTCAGCCCCTCACGCAGACAACAACAATCAGGAAAATGCCAAAAAGGTAAGGTTTGATGAGGTTTTTAATGAAATAAATGGCGATTTCTACTGCTCTGACTCAGAATTGCTCAGGAAACATAAGGATGCCTCGGTTAAGAAGCTAGAAACTTAGCAGAATTGCTCAGAAAACACAGATATATAGGTTTTTAATTTATGTATAAAAAAATTTATGAAATAAACTTTAGTTGAGGTTTTCCTATTTAAAAAACGAAAACAAAAATACAAATTAGCCATAGATATTTAAGTGTCCTGTTTTTGAGACTGTTGCTTTAATAAAACCTGAGACACCTACTCAAAATTGCTCATGAAACATGGAGATTTTAGGTTTTTTGTGTTCCAATATCTACTTTAACATTGGACAAGGTTTTTAATTAAATGATAGACGATTTCTAATGCTTAAATTTAATTTGACTAAGAATTACTCAGGAAACATAAAGATGTCTAGGTTTAGATTTTACTACCCAGAACACGAAATTTTAACTAGGGGTCAGGTCTTGGTGTGCGATTTCTGGTTTTTACTTCAACGAAACCTTAGAAACTTAGCAGAATTGCTCAGAAAATAAAGACATTTATTTATGCATAAAAAAATATGAAATAAACTTTAGTTAAGGTTTTACTACTTAGAAAACGAAAAGAAAATTACAAACCAACCAAAAATATTTAAGTATCCTATTTTTGAGTCTGTTGCTTTAATCTGAGAAATCTACTCAAAAATGCTCATGAAACATCGAGATTTTAGGTTTTTTGTTTTCAAATATGTACCTAATTTAACGTTGGGCTTGGTTTTTAATGAAATAATAAGCGATTTCTATTGCTTAAATTTAATCTAACTAAGAATTACTCAGGAAACATAAAGGTGGTTTAGATTATAGATTTTAATTCTCAGAACACGAAATTTTAAATATGGATGTTTGGTTTGGTTTTGTTGTTTTATGAAATAAACTTTTGTTAAAGTTTTACTACTCAGAAAACAAAAGTCACAAATCAACCAAAGATATTTAAGTTTCCTATTTTTGAGACTGTTGCTCTAATAAAACTTGGGAAACCTACTAAAAATTGCTCATGAAACATTGAGATATTTAGGTTTTGTTTTTAAATACTTAATTTAAGGTTGGACAAGGTTTTTAATGAAATAAAATTTGATTTCTATTGCTTAAATTTAATCTGACTCAGGATAGCTCAGAAACATAAAAATGTCTAGGTTTAAATTTTACTACTCAAAATACGATAACCTAATTATAGTAGAGGTTTAAGTACTTATCTCATTTTTGGCTGTTTCCCCAATACAAACCTGAAAAACTGCTCAGAATTACTCATGAAACATGAAGATTTGTTTTTGTTTTCAAATACTAGAAATTTTGATTTAAGTTTTGCAACCTACTATGTACTTTGAAATTAAATTAGATTAAATTTTGTGTTATTAACAAACGTTTTCTTAGAATTTTGCTGTAGGCTTAGAACGTGAAATTTGCTGTATCTGAAGCATTTGGTTTAAATTTAGGCTTTGAGATTTTTTTCCTGAAAAATTGTTCAGATCTTGGTTGGGAAACATACCATTCGGTAATTAAAAAAATATTTATTTGAAATTTTCTTTGAGAAGTCAGATGTCTGTAAGAATTAGGCTTGTGGAGAAATTAATTCAGGTTGTAATTTTATACTTCTAGGTTTAGGTTTTAAAATAAATATTTTAGGTTTAGATTTGCGAAATCAATGTAGACGTTATATTTGCTCTAATTCTTTTCGAAAGTTTGGGAGATTTTTTAAGTTTACTATATAAAAATAAATTTAGGTTTAAGTTTTTATGGTGACTTAGAATACTAATACTTTTCAAGTATTAGAAAATTGAACATAAACACAAGATTTTTTCTGGTTTATGTCTGAGTATTTTTTTCAGGCGTAGGTATTCAGGTTGATCATTATTGAATTCGTTCAGGTTTGAATTATTTTAGGTTCAAATTGGAACCTATTTTTCAGAGAATTAGAAAATTGAACATAAATGTAACGTATTGAAATTTACTTAAATTTATGTCTAAGTAAATTTCTCAGGCTTAGGTTTTATACCTCAGAAACCTGTTTAGATGTCGATTTCCCAAAATTACTCACATTGATTTTTTCAGGTTTAGTTATGAACTAATAAAATCGAAAATGTACGAAGCTGATACACATTTATCTAAGTGGCAGTGCTCAAATTTCAGTACTGAGTTAGTTTCAGATTTAACTACGAAATAATCTCTCAGGTTCAGATTTAAAAAGAGATTTCAACCTGCTATTTTCTTCAACACAAGAGATAAAACGGATTGAGGAAGAAAAGCAATAAAATAGAGATTTTTACGATTTTTTATTAAAATAAAAAACAGTCAGAGCATCTTTTCCTCTCTGTGGATGCTCGTATTTTAAATTTTTATTTTTTTTTTTTGATTTATGACCGTCGAACTCTTGCATGTTTAAATGTAGGCATAGGTAATGTCCGTATCGCGCGTTTCACACACGAATTCACCCCGTTACAGGGTGTGATAATCAAAAATCGATTCATCATCGGTCGTACTTTGTCCAAGCGATGGACACATCGAAAGTCGCCACCACCACGGTGTTGCATAATTGGGTATTGATCATCCGTTAAAACTCATAAGGGACTATAGAAAATCATCCTTTTTGTGTCTCTCAACGTTATTTTTAATTTCCTACTCCCTCGCTTTTTACCCAACTCGCAGGAAACGTAAAACGACGTGTGCATCTGTAATTATGTGTTTTTCGAAATAAAATCGTTACGAAATCGCTCGTAAAACTCGAGGATTTTTTTTTCACCGAGTCGTAAAATTTTGGCAACGCTGTAGAAAGGTGGGACAGGTTGATGACTCGAAGCGATTTTGTATTCGGGAAACGTAGAATTGATAAAATGCGCCAACCTTTTTTGTAATTATTAATATCCGTATTGTTTTCTTTTGGTTGGTCAGGATAAATGCCCCCAAGTCACATGTGTTCGTCTTTTTTCCCTCGATTAAGAATAATGTTTTAAATGGAAAAGCGAAAGAGAGTCTCTCGAAGGATTCTTTGTCAGTCCAGGATAATGGAAAAAAGGAAATCCTGTTATTATTTAAAAGAAATCTAACTCCGCCTCGATATTAAATCCATTGAAAAAATCGCTGGCTTTGATGGCCGTTCTATTGTATTTAACAAAATCGGTCCTGATTAAAACCGTTCTTCGTCCGATTGAACCGTATTTTTGTGTTTTTTTTTTCTGTAAAAATCGACACATATTAAAAAAAAAAAGAGAGCACGAGCAAAGTCGTGCACAATACCGGTTCGTGCTTTTATTTTATGATAAGATCTCGTAATAAAGCACAATAGACAATGGCCAAAGTTTGGTCTTTCAGCGGCGCTAAAAATCTCCGACGCAGAATTACTTTTCCCCTTCTTTATGAACGATAATTAATATCTTCAGTTGTTATTTATGGCAGTTGGTGGAAGTCGCCGTTTGTTTCTATCTAAAACCGTAATGGAGACGCATTACGTTTAATAACACCTTCGTTGTTGTGTGTTGTTCGTTTCTCAGGTGAAGTTGGACCAACAGAACAACGTCGGTAAACCGTCGCGAGTTATTCACATCCGTAACATTCCAAACGACGTATCGGAAGCCGAAATTGTTCATTTGGGAATACCTTTCGGAAGAGTAACGAACGTTTTAGTACTCAAAGGGAAGAATCAAGCGTTCTTAGAAATGGGTGAGGAATCCTCGGCTACAACAATGGTCAATTATTTCTCCAGCTCGATGGCGCAGCTGAGAGGAAGAGCGGTCTATGTACAATACTCGAATCATAAGGAACTCAAGACGGACCAAACACATTCGAATGCGGTAAGTAAACAATTTTTTTTTTACTCCAAAAAAAAAACTTGACACTTTGGCTAAAATCAGCAAGATTGCTCAGTATCACGTGTAGGTAGGCACACTATTATCTCAGGTTTAAGATTTGAGCTTGGACTCAGAATAGAACCTCAGTTATGAGTTCATGTATAAGATCTTCAAATTCGCTCAGGAAACACCTCATCTTGAAATTTTCAGAACTTTTATAAAAATATATTTTTCTAATAATTATCTCAGGCTAAACCTAAGCTTCGAAATTTTAGGTTTTTCGAAGAAATGAAATTAAGTTAAAGTTTACAGAATTGTTTCAGGTTGGCTCCTGAATATTACATAATTTTAAGATAAGTCTGGGCTTTTTTGCTTTGAAGTTAGGTTATTTTAGGTTTAGGCTGGTTTATCAAGTATCTCAGCTAATTGACTAAAACTTTTTGCTAAATTTCGGTATCGTAAGGTTTAGGTTTTATTTTACGAAATTAGCTTGGAGGAAACTCAAAATTGAATTGGTTTAATCTCAGGCTGAAAAAATATTCTGACGTCTTTCAAGGTTTTTTGCTGAGTACCTGTGTCACAAACTTGGGTTTCAGTCTTAGATGTTTTCGCAGATTTGGAATTGTTCTCTCAAAATTTATATTTACCAGAATGGTTCTGAGTAATTATCTCAGGAATTTTAAACCTTATATTTGTAAAATGGCTTAGGTTTAAACAATTTCAATTTCGTCGAACTAAGTTTGAGGAAATTGTGAAGTTCACCTCAGGTTTAGATTTAACTGTAGAAAGTTGTTTCATTAAAATCTGAGAAATTTCAGGCAGGTTTAGGTTTTATTGTACTAAATGAACTTAGGTTTGTTTACGTCTAAGAAATTCAAAATTGAGTGCATTGGTTTAATCTCAGAATAGTTTCTAAAATAAACTCAATTGAACGAATTATTCAAGTTGAGAAAATATTTTAGTTTGCTATTTTTGGAACTTTTAGATATTTTTTAAGTTTTTTCACTGTGTTTTTCTTTTCTTTTCTAAACTCAGGTTTAAATCTTAGATGTTTTCTCATATTGAATTTGTTATGGCAAAATTTGGATTGATTCTAGCAATTATCTGAGGAATTTTAAACTGTATTTTTATAAAATGGTCTAGGCTTGAAATTTAGGTTTATTTTTACAAGTTAAGTTACTTCAAATTGGCAGAAGAAATTGTGAAGTTTACCTCAGGTGTATTTTTAACGGTAAAAAGTTGATTCATTAAAATCAGGGAAATTTTATTAAGGTTTAGGTTTTTTATCTACGTAGGTTTAGGCCTAAAACACCAAATATTTTGTAAATTCGTTTGATTTCGGGCTGAGTTATTAAAATTAACTTAATTTTTAATTTGAAAGAAGAAACTCAAAATTGAATTAGTTTAATCCAAAACTGAAAAAATATTTTAAGTTACAGTTTTTGAAACTTTTTAAGGTTTTTCGCAGAGTACCTGAGTGACAAACTTAGGTTTAAATTAGATGTTTTCTCAGATTTGGATTTGTTCTACCAAAATTTATATTTACCAGATTGATTCTGAATAATTATCTCAGGAATTTTAACCTTATTTTTGTAAAATGGTTTAGGTTTGAACAATTTAAATTTCGTCGAATTGAAAGAACTAAGTTTGAGAAAATTGTGAAGTTTACCTCAGGTTTAGATTTAAGTGTAAGAAGTTGTTTCATTGAAATCTGACAAATCTCAGGAAGGTTTAGGTTTTATTTTACGAAATCAACTTAGGTTTACGTCTGAGAAATTCAAAATTGAGTGAATAGGTTTAATCTCAGAGTAGTTTCTAAAACTAACTCAGTTTTAAATTCGATGAATTATTCAAGTTGAGAAAATATTTCGAGTTGCATTTTTCGGATCCTTTAGGCATTTTTCAAGCTTTTTTATCTCAGGCATTTTAAACTGTATTTATATAAATGGCCTAGAAATTTAGGTTTATTTTTACAATTACATTTACTTCTTACAGTAACAGATTTAACTGTAAGAATTATTCATTAAAATCAGAGAAATTTTATTAAGGTTTAGGTTTTATTTAACCGAAATTAACGCAGGTTTATACCTAAAAAACCCAAAATTTTGTAAATCTGTTTAATTTCAGGTCGAGTTTTTGAAATTAACTCAATTTAAAATTCTAGAAATTTAAATTTAGAAAATATTCTAGGTTGCAATTTTCGAATTTTTTTTGAATTTCACTATATTTTTTTTTAATTTTAAACCTGAATTGTGGAATATAGATAAAATTAGATGTGTACCTATATGAGGTTTTTTCTGATAGAATTTGTATTTGCGAGAATAATTATGCAATTGAACTAAAATTAAATGGCTGGAAGACGATGTTTTCTATTATTATTTAGCAATCAAACTTAAAAAAAAATATCCTAAATAATACCAATAGAGTCCAAATCGGGTGATTTCAGTAGCCACATCAAAAAAATTGTTAATTTTTAATCGCAAAATTGATATTAAAAATCATACTTTTTAAAACAGTGTGTTTTTATTAAAGAAATCAAATTATTTTAAAATCATAGAAATATGGGATAGTATTTTTTTAATTTTATAACGTTTGAAGACGATAATGGACTTTAGCATATTTTATTAATTTAATTTTTTTATGGTCAGAAACAGAAAAATGTGTGACGCAAGGTGGGGTAATTTTTCAGTGGTTGTGTTTGAGTCGTGAAAAAATTATCGATCAGGTCTGAATGTGACACTTTAACTGTGTTTCGGAAGTAACTACGTTGAAGTGAATCGATAAAGTTACGCGTGTAGTAATCTCGACGAATTTATGGTGAATTGTTGGAAGGTTTTGGGTGTCTAAATTGGCGAAATCGAGCTTTGGCCTCATTACGGTTTAACCGAAATTTTACGTCAACGAGTTTGGGTTAATTTCACTAATCTAAATCCTGTTAGTGCTGTTATAAACAAAATTTATTTCGTGTGTGTTTTTTTGGTAATGCAGACTAAACACACACTGCAACTGTCACAAATTAAAAATGTCATCGTATCGTTTCACCTTCGTAAATCGTGTCTGAATTTATCTCGAAACACATAAATACAAGTTCCAACACACGCAATGTGCAATAATCATGGATTTTTCTGCGAAAAATTTTCTAAAATAAAGCAAAGCTTAATTAAAATTTATTACCGAATCTATCTTCGGACAGAATCAACATTAAAAACGTGCTACAAACAATATTCGGGTAATTTTCTTTTTTTACCCTCTAATTCGTAACGATGTCATGCGAGAGATTTCATGTAAACAGATTTAGATTTTATTTGCGCGATAATTATTTTTTTAAATAAAATATTCCACTTTCTAATTGGATGCTTTTTTTTCAACAAGTCTAATTAGTTTTTTATTAATTTTGAGGAGTTTTATTGGCTTGGAGAGAACCGTCAACATTAAAAACACAAAATGTGGACGACTGTTATTGCCCATTATGAAATTATTACGTCCAATAAACCACACAAAACTTTCATGGATATGCTACGAGATGCTTTAGCAATAAGTTTATGGCGATGATATTTAAATTAGAAGCGTTTCTGGCGAGAGATATATTTATTATATTTCGTGATAGTTAAACGTTTACACAACCCCGCACTTGAAATTCTAATAAATTCACAAACAAATTCTCACAAAAATATTAAATTTAACTTTTTCTCTGATTTTCCGCAAATTGAAATTCTGTAAAATTTCAAACTTCAACCTGGACAACTTTGAAAACTCCCTTTTACGTTTTAAACTTTGTTCAATCAACAATCAACATTGTTCTACAAAACTTCACACAACTTTAAAAAAATACATAGTTTTACACATCAAACTTCAAAATTTTAATTTTTACTCACAACGAAACTGTCTACTTTTTTCACTTTCTTAAGTGTTTAAAGATTTACTATGTTAATCAACTTTTAATTTGTTTTATACTTTTCTATTTGTTGTTCTTTCGTTTTTTTTTTTTTTTGTTATTCGATTTTCTAGTTTTGATAAATTCTTTGATTTTTTAGTTAAATTTTTATTTTCTTTTTGGTCCAATCACAACAATAAATCATCGAATTTTTAGATTTTGTTTTTGTTGTTCAATATTTCAAGTATGAGGTCTTTGATTTTTTTAATTTTTCTTTCTTTTTTTCGTCTTTATACGCTTTCTATTTTTTTTGATTTTCTAAAATATTTTTCTTTTTTTTTTTTCTTTAGCAGTATAAAAAATCTTTCAAAACGTAGATTTTCTCTTTATTCTCAAATATTTTATCTTTCACTCTTCAAACATCTTTTTTTTTAATTGTTTTTTACCCTTTATTTCTTTCTATGATGGTTGAATGGTTATATGTCAAATCTTTATCCTTTTTTTTATTTTTGTTTTTTACAATGTCTATTTATATTTCCTGATTTCCTATTTTTGAATTTTCAGTTACATTCGAGAGTATTTTTAGATTTATTCCATTAATAATATAATAATTTATTTTGTAGCTTTTTATTTTTTGTACTTTCAGCATGATAATTTTAACTTAACTTTATTTTTCAAAATTTACGACTTCTACAATTGTGATTTTTTAAACACAAGTTTTACTCTCGTAACTACAACTTCGCCCATCATGGATTTACTCCATCCCAACTTTCAAGATATTATTCCAACTTAACAGAACTTCTACACCTATTCTCCCAACTTTACATAATTCTCTTCTTACTTACAGTCTTTACCAAAATTCCAATTTCACAAAAATAACGCTTTAAAAGATTATTTTCATAACTTTTGTTTGTCAATTTTTTTTAGAAAACTTGTTATTGAAAAATTAAGAAATGTTAGTTTGTTTACTGTGGAAAACTCCTCTAATTCATCAAAAACCAATTTAATACTCCAAAGTACCAGCTTTTCACTATTTTTATTAACTAATTTACAAACAAATTTACAAAGGTAACGATTTGAAGCGTCCAGTTTTAAAAGTTATCAAAACTCCTTCTTTAACAAAATTGCA